TTCTCAGAAAATCTCAAATAAGACACTAAAAGGTAAATGACATCATATACAAATCTGTTACTTTGTACTAATTAAAATTTTCACTTAAAAAGAAAAATTCTGTACTTAAATTAATTAAATTTGTTAACTATTCATGATGAATAAACCTCTTATACTTATACGCGTTAAACTGTTAAAAGCAAAACATCTTATTGTTTTACTATAGTAATGCAATATGCGCAGGCGTCCTACTTATAAGTCAAACAAACATTTATTTGATACAAATATACTATTTCATAAATTGCAAATATATTTCTTTATTTTAGATTAATAAGTGCATTTATTTGAAATAAATATTAGTTTATTTATTTTAAATAAAATATTTATTTGTAACAAATAAATTTTTTTTAAATATACACTTTTAGTTAAAATAAATAACTTTTTTCTCTGGGTGTAATAATAATTGAATTTTGTCGAAGAATTTTGCTATTCATTTATAAAGATAATTGAAATGTTGACGTTTTTTTTAAAATTTTTTGAAAATTATAGAATTTTTTCGATGAATTTTATTAATTTTCAAAATAATTGAATTCTTGTTATGAAAATTGTGATTGACAAAAATAATTGAATTTTGCAATGAATTTTATTAAAATTCCTGAAAATAATTGAATTTCGGCGAAGAATTTTGCTATTTTTGAAGATAATTGAAATGTTGACAAGAATTTTTTTAAACAATTTTTTGAAAATAATTGAATTTTTGTAAAAAAAACTTTGACATTCATTAACATAGTTGAATTCTTTCAAAGAATTGCGTTAAAATTTTTAGAATTTAAACTAATTTCAACACAATTGAAATAAAAATTTTACAAAAAATTTTTTATTTTTAAAAGTAATAACTTTATGAAATTCTTTCGAGGAATTTTAATAAAATTTTTATTAATAATTACATTTTTTGAGGAATTTGATTAAAATTGTATTAAAAATAATTGAAATTCGGCAATGAGTTTTATTATTTATGAATATAATTGAATTATTGCAAAGATTGTAAAAATGTTTCAAATAATTGATTTTTTTCCAAAAAATTTATGCAAATTCTATTTTTAATAATTGAATTCCTGTAAAATGTTCTTTATTTTAAAAGATAATTGAATATTCGTTTAGAACTTTGTCAAAATTGTTTTTAAAGAATTTACTTCTTTGGGAAATTTTATTAAAATAATAGAATATTAAAAATCATTGAATTAAGAAAATTTTTTGAAAATAATTGAAATTTGGACATGAATTTTATTAAAATTTTTGACAATAATTGAATTTTATTACTTTTAATAAAAATTGAATTCTTGTTATGAATTTTGATATTTATCAAAACAATTGAATTTTGCAATGAATTTTATTAAAATTCCTGAAAATAATTGAATTTCGTCGAAGAATTTTGCTATTCAATTATAAAAATAATTGAAATGTTGACAATTTTTTTTTATTCTTTGAAAATAATTGAATTTCTGCGAAGAATTTTATTAATTTTGAAAATAATTGAATGCTTGTAGTGAATATTGTTATTTTTAAAAATAATTGAATTTTACAATGAATATTATAAAAATTCCTGAGTTTAATTGAATTTCGGCGAAGAATTTTGTTATTTATAAAGATAATTAAAATGTTTTCAAGAATTTTTAAAAAATTGTTGAAAATAATTAAATTTCTGGAAAGAATTTTAATTTTTATTAAGCGATAGTTAAATTCTTTCAAATAATTGAAAACCATTGAAAATAGCAAATATATACCAAAACCTCTAAATGAATAATTTTTCCACAATTTTGTAAAGAGTATCCAGAGCTATATACGTATTTTTGAATATATAATTTTAATACTCCGGAAATAAAATAAAAAAAGGCGAAAAATAAAGATAAACCCAAACTGTGTGTTTCACATTGAGACAAGAGAGACCCTCTCAACTCTGACACGACGAATTGCAAAAAAAAAAAAAAATAAAAAAAAAAAAAAAACCGAGTGGAATGTATTACTGAGGAATAGGAAAAATATATTCATCATATATACTGAAGCAACGGTCTAATTATGAGTTTCGGTAAATAAAGCGCATTATTTCCAATGCGCCCGCGAGATAAAATAATTCGCGCTCTATATAGATTTAAAGAAAAAGGAAGAAGAGAAAAAAATTCGCATAGAATTTGTGACTTGGAATTTCCGCAAGTAGTAAATGGATGGATGGCTATGTGGCGCGGTGTCTGAAAAGAGTATATTGAAATTGCGGGTAGGGACAGAAAATGGGTGTAACATATACTTGTATAAATGCAGATATAGAAGACGAGATACAATAACCAAATGTTATCCGCAATATATTCATCGGTGACGCGTATTATATACATTAGGTTATTCCACAGCCTCCGGTAATGCGCAGTGATTTTATGTCGTAATTATAAAGATTTCACATTTCATTTTTCCTTCACTTTTTTGCTTTTTCATTTCTTTTCTTTCTCTCTTATTTTCTCTCTCTCTCTCTCTCTCTTCTTTCTTTCTCTCTTCTTTTTCCCTTTCTTTCCTCTTTTTCCCTTTATTTTCTCCTTTTTCTGTTTCTTTCTTTCCTTCTTTTTCTCTTTTCCTTTTTCTACTCTTTTTTTTCTTTCTATATTTTCATTAAAAACCCGGCCACTCTCTTTTTTTTCTCCACCTCCTCTTTTCTCCGAATACCTCTTTGGTAATAATTTCATCTTTTTCTCTTTTTCAGATGAATGCGGAAATATATGTTTTTCATGCATATATATGTCTGTGTTGCAGAAGAAAATAACGACGCCCAAATATATAGAAAAGATTCGAGTAACGAATGTACAGTATGCGCGTTAGAAGTGAATATATAAATATACATATAGTGCTAACGAGTGAAGATCTGTCGACCAATAGAAATGTTGGATTCGCTTGCACTCTCATTTTTATTACTTGTACAATATATTGTATGGTCTCTTCGCGACCCGTCGATGTTATTTTGTCATGTATATATGATGTATACATCGAAAAAGCCAGAGTATATATTCGATTGATAAAAATAGATGTGAAAATATACTTTTGACTCGTTTTTCTCGACTTTGTCTTATTCGTCTATATAGATATATATTCATAGAGAGAGAGAGAGAGGGTATATACGCGTTATTCAATGTGATATTTGCAAGGGAAAATATTCTGCATTACTGATTCTTCATTCAAGGATTTCAAATTCTATATGCATGTTTCATATATGCTTTTGCTATTTTCAAATGAATGAAGAAATGATACGGAATTCTCTTTGCAAAAGAATATTTTTGTCATTGTTGTTCTCTAATAAAATTTTTGTTTTTTAATTACTTTTTTTTCTTTTCAAATATTATTTCAAAACACTAAAAAAATTCTCTCCTCCAGCATGGAGGAGAGAATTTTTTTAGTGTTTTGACTTCTAGTCAGTGGTTTATCAAATATAAGTGTTTTTATTATACAATTATAGAACAAAAATTTAGATCTGACTAAAAGTATTTTATACTACTGAAGGTAAATTACTGATGAAAATTAACTTTGTTTTAACGTATTCTATAGCAATAAGAAAACTACAGAAAAATTTGATGTCTGACTATAACTGATTTGTACTACTGACACAAAATTTACTGATTAAAACTATATTTTACTATATATAGTAACTAATAAGGAAAAAATGTCTGACTACTACTAATTTGTACTGTAAAGGCGAAATTTATCTGCAAATTGTCCTGTCTGACTAAAATCGGTTTTTATCACTGCTACCAAAACTACTCTCTAAATCAGAATCAGCGAAAACTCACTGATTCTCAGCGAATAGTCGCTAATTCAAATAGCTATAAGTATGCCACTGAGAATCAGCGAATAGTCGCTGGTCCAATCAGCGGTTACGTATTATCGAATATGGCAGCTGTATTCATTTTCTTTTCAATCAACTTATAACCAACAATTATAAAATTTTGTAATAATATGGGTCTAATATGTTGACGGGTATATGATTTATTATTTTTATTATACTTAAAACACTAATATTCTTGTGAATATTTAGAGTTAGATTTTCATTATAAATTTATTTTTCCAATTCAAGGAAAACCACTTTAAAATTTATTAAATTCGCCACCGAAACCACAGAAAATATGCTCACTTTAATGTTTTACTTTAATCACTACTCACTAATCACTAATTTCATCCAATTTAAATTAATTTGGCACTAATGTAAAAAATAAACATTCCGCGTAATGTGACACATTTGCATGGAAATGACGCTACGAGTATTTTACACTTCTGCGCACACGCAGAGTTTACTGATTGCTTCAGTGACATCCACTTATCTTCAGTAAATTCCACTATTTTTCAGTGAAAACTTCGTTCACTGGTTAAAACAGCGCTTTTTTCGCTGATTCAGATTTAGAGAGTAGGAGAATTTAAATTTTCTGACTAAAATTCCTTTATTGTCTCATTTTGATATCTTTAGAAAAACTGTGAATATTAAAGAAATAAAGTTGAAGAAAATATATGAAATTAAGACAGAAGAAAAATTTTAAAAGAAAACAAAAGAAGAAAATTAAAGTAAGACTAAAGAAAAAGAATAAATTTAATTTTAAAGATCAAAGAAAATAAGAATAAGGAAGAAATTAAAGCAAAATTAAAAAAATTTACCGTACAACTTTTTTTTAACATTTGGCATTAAAAATAAACTACAGAGAAATATTTTTGGATGAAAAAGCAAGACTATATAGATATAGTTATAATACAGTTGAATGACACCTACAAATTGTGGTATTGTGAAACGTAAAATATAAATAAACATTCCTCTCAAAATGAAGAATTAAAAATCTTATTCTCCGAATCGACTTGTGTGGTTTTTAGAGCACAAAGATTGGAGCTATATCCTTGTCACAAAACTCGATCAAAGTGCTTCCTCGCCCTATCGTGACGTATCTTGACGTCCGTCACCTACCAAACTCATATATAATCTGATTAAAAAAAAACAAAATTACCTCATTCACCTGTTCTAGATCATGAAGAATCATAAAATGCCCACTAATTCCATCGCACATATAGCGGTACATGTGCAAAATTTCAATCTTATCTTGTCTTTTATTATATACACGCATGTAAACATATGTTTGCATTTTTTTCTGCTTATTAATAATTGACTATACGAATATATTAATTCGCACGCATGTTTTAATATTTCCTTGAATAAAAATATGCATAAAATTAAAATTAAAAATTAAAAATTGTTAATAAAGTAAATATTTATTTGATATTAGGAAAGCAATCGATTATTTAAAACAAATAAATTTTCTCTTCAGTGTTCAAAGTTATTTAATAGTCATCAAAAAAGTATCGGACAATCAGAGAGTACACTGAGAAAACAATATGTTTGAATCAAACATTAAATTAATTTTAAATAATTTACTACTAGCAACAATTCACGCGCTTACGCGCACGCGGCTGACTTCTTCTTCTTCTTTTCTTCTTCTTTTTTTTTTACTTTTTTAAGTAAAATTAGCAATTTCAAAAATAACAGAACGTAAAAATTTTTAATTCAAAATGTTTTTTATAAAATTAAAATATGAATTAGAATATATAGTTTTAATATTATTATAATTATAATAATCATATATTCTGACATAGGGAATTCAGGGAAAAGTGAGGAATTTTTATTTAATGAAAAAAATTAAATTTTTAGAATTCATAAGAAAATTCTGAATTTTTGGGTCTTTTTTGTTTGAGTCATAAACTATAAAATTATCACAAATTCTATTACAAAATCTTCAATTATTTCAATTTCTGACAAAAATTTCTTTTTAAATAACTTAAATCTTGAACAATTATCATAAAATAAATAAATTATTTTATGAATAATTTTACTTAAATATTTCAAAATTAATTCAATTTTAAAAGAGTTGCGTTTACAATTTTCATAAATAAATAAACTTCAAACGTTTTCAATTTGAAATTTAATGAATTTTAATGTTGAATGAATTTAATTAGAAATTTTAATGAACTTAGATTTTTGAAAAATTTTAATAATTCAAAATCTTCTAAAATTAGTTAAATTTGTCAATAAATATTTAATTTATTATTTAAAATAATGAATTTATAGAAGAATTTTAGTTAAAAAAACTAAAAAATTGAATTTTGAAGAAGTTACAAATGATTGCAGAAATTCAATTATTTTCAAAAGTAATAAAATTCTTATCACAAAATTCAATTATGTTCGAAATTTACAAATAAATCTCGACGAAATCCCAATTATTTATTTATTTATTTATTTAACATTGGTCCCCCAGTCCCTATGGATTATTTTTATAAATCAAAAAATTCTTCTTCAAAATTCAATTATTTTCAAAAATTTTACTCATCTCAATGATTTTCAATAATATCGACTATTTTAATAAAATTATCCAAAAGAATTTAATTATTTAAAAAACAATTTTGACAAAGTTCTACAAAAACATTCAATTATTTAAAATAGTATTTGCATACATTTTTTCGAAAAAATCAAATGTTTTGAAGTTTGGCATTAAATTCTTCGCAATAATTGAATTATTTTTTAAATTAAAATAAATTAAATCAAATTAAATTTTAAAATTCCTTTCAGGGATTTAATTATTTTTATAAATAATAAAATAATTCGGAGGAAGTCAATTATTTTCATAAATAACAATATTCATCATAAGAAATCAATTATTTTCAAAAGTATAGGTAAGAAATTCAATTATTTTGAAGAATTTTAATAAAATTCATGCCAAAATTTCAATTATTTTCAAAAAATTTTCTTAATTCAATAATTTGTATATTTATTATTTTAATAAAATTTCCCAAAAGAAAACCTACACGAATATTCAATTATCTTCTAAAATAATGAAAATTTCACCGCATTTCAATTATTAAAAATAGAATTTGCATAAATTTTTTCGAAAAAAATCAATTATTTGATACATTTTTACAATGTTCGCAATAATTCAATTATTTTCATAAATAATAAAACTCATTGCAGAATTTCAATTATTTTTAATACAATTTTAATCGAATTCTTTGGAAAATTCTAATTATTCTTAGAAATTTTATTAAAATTCGTCGAGAGAATAAAATTATTTAAATATTTGTTAATAAAATCATATATAAGAGTTTTATATTTTGAGAAACATTCAATTATTCAATAAATAATTTACTTTTGTATTTAAATAATTGAATTCTCGTAGAATGTTCTAATAAAAACTGATTTGAAAATGAATTTTACTTTAAATTTTAGATAATAATAGAATATGAAAATAATTTTTAAGAAGTAACAGTAACAATATTATTATAATATAAAATAATAATTTTAACACTCGATCGATCCTCTTTAATTATTATAAAACATAAAGAAATCGGTCACTCCGAGTCTAAGACTCGGAGTAATTGTTGTCTTTATGTTTTATAGCAATGTTTTTAAAGTTAATTAATTTCAAAAAGGTTTCGAATAATTTTACATTATTTAAAGGTATTCGTAAATAAATTTAACACAACATTTTTTTGAATAAAATATTTTTCTTCATTTTCTAAAAATTAAAAAAATTTCAGTTTCATTTTCAATTAAATTTTCGAATTTACAATAATATAATTTATAAACATTTTTTCCCTCTATTTTTAAAAAACTTTGAATTTTATTAAAACAATTGAAATTAAGAAATTGAATTGATGCAAATTATTTCCTTATTATGAAAATTGAGAATTTTCTACAAAAATATTAAGAAACGAGAATATCTAATAATTGAATAATTAAATTGAGAATATATGTTTTTCTTCCCAAAAGAAAAAAATTAGTTTGTAAACAATATTGTTATTGAGAAATAAAAATTATGCATATAATTAAAACAAGTTAATTAATGATTAAAGCCATTTTAACGGATCATGATTGGTTGATTGAGGATTTATACCTAATCATTGATTAATTTTTAATCTATATTGGTGAAACTGGTCCTTAATGAGTTTGATAAATGAAGATTTCGTTTAATTTAATTATAAAATATGTTTAATTCAGACATATTTGTTTGGTTGGCTACTTATTTTAGGACTAAAAAAAATTTCTATTCATCAGTGTACCTGAAAAAATGCCACAACTGCTCAATTGAATCATAAACTAATTAAAGTAATTACCTGTTTTCTTTCAGGCGAGAAAAATTAAACATTTTCCCCCGCAATAAGTATTTTTATTTTACACACATAGCTTTGATTTATCAGGCGCGAGGATAAAATTCTTTTCATCGTGGGCATAAGTGTATATAAGTGCGCGTGCGTGCGTGCGTAAATTAGCGACACGTTCTTTGAATTGTTATTTTATCGAATACACGAAAGCGTACACGATGTTGATTCAAGGGGAACACGAGTGACATTTCGCGGTCTTTTAATACACGTCTTGTCTCGCCTTAACGTGTATTGTACATATGCGTACGTGCAACGTACACCTGCACATACACTAATCATGCTTCGTCGTCCAACTCTAATAGCGTACATATATATACATATATACATATGGGTTATAAATCAACCGTAGTACCTTTTCTCAAAAGGTATATCCATATATGAAGGGTATATTATTTATGGTCGTTCGTTAGCGCGCAACAGTTCATCGGTATATACGTGTCAAGTCTCTCTCGCGCTAGAATTTTCGTTCGACTACGAGAGGAACGACCACGAGGACGGCGCAACGACGACCATAATATTCGATAACGTCTTCGATTCAATCGTCGAAAATTATAAATATTCACGTCAGAATTATTAGTGTCTTGTGCGATTTTGCCGCCGACAGCATAAATGTTGTATACGCTTGTATGTATGTATATATTTATACAATGAAGCAGCGCGGTATATCGTAAAATATTCCGATCTCGGCAATCAATGATTTCTATTGTATTAAAATGTATTATGATGATAACAATATTTATGTATTACATTCATAACGTATCGTTTATAAGATCGATGATTTCCTGATTGTGAACGATTCATTATTGTGTTTTTGTAAATGTATATATATTTAGGTACGTGTGTTATATAAATGGATCGATAATTTTTCTAAAGGTTATGAGAGAATAATAATAAGAGAGTAAAAAAGAGAAAAGAAAAATTTATTATTTTCACAGTTAATCGTGAGGTATTAAAAAGTGTTGCAGATTAAATTAACACGAAAAAAGATTAAAATAATCAAATTTGGTGTTATTTTCTATACAATGAATGAAATTTTAGTTCATTAAATTTTTTTAAAACTATAAAACATGAAGATATTGATAACTCCGAGTCTTCGACTCGGAGTGATCGATTTCTTCATATTTTATAATAATTAAAGATGACCAAGTAATAAAATCATTATTTTATATTATAAGAATATTGTACATCTTCAACATTATTTTCATCATTTTAATTCAATTAATATTTTCAAAAATTTTTAATAACAATTTTACTTTATATCAATTATCAATTATTTTTAATAATTTTCGAAAAAGTTCTTTGGCAATTTTCAAATCCATTTGTTTACAATATTCAATTTAACGACATTTCAATTATTCATAAATTTTTTAATTAAATGCATTTATTAGAAAATAAAAACTTCAAATAATATAAAAGAAAGTTCAATTAAACTTTTTCAAAAAAATTAATTTCAAAATTCAATTATTTATAAAAATTCACGCTATATTGCTTTTAATATTCAATTATTATCTAAAATTTAAACTGAAATTCATTTTTATGAAATGAAAATCAATTTTTATTAGAAAATTCTACAAGAATTTAATTATTTAAATGCAAAAGTAAATAATTTACTGAATAATTGAATGTTTCTCAAAATTCAATTCTCATAAAGAATTTTATTAACAAATTTTTAAATAATTGAATTCTCTCGACGAATTTTAATACAATTTCTAAGAATAATTACATTTTCCGAAGAAATCGATTAAAATTGTATTAAAAATAATTGAAATGCTGCGATGAGTTTTATTATTAGTAAAAATAATTGAATCCTTAAGAAGAATTTTATTACTCTTGAAAATAATTGAATTTCTGCAATAATTTGTAACTTCTCTAAAATTAAATTTTTTTCTAGTGTTTATAACTAAAATTCTTCAATAAATCCATTAATTTTAATAACTTTTAAAAAAGTTCCTTGAGAATTTTCAAATTCATTCGTTTACAATTCAAT